CGACACGTGTTTGGGTGGACCTGCTGGTTGCGAGAGCAATAGGGTATGTTCGACGTCTTCGAGGTGTGGGTCTAGCTTTCGAGGCGTGTCTGGTGATGGTACTACCAAGTGGTCGTGGTGATCCTCCCCCTTACTGAAATTGTGACCGTCCTCGGTCAGCGCAGAGATAGATACAAGAGACGGGCGGGGCGGGGAGGGAAGCATGGGCTGCTCGTCATGCTCGGGCAACATAGTAGCCAGTGGAGGTGACAGGCCATCCATCGTAGGAGTGTTCGAAGATTTTGGCGGTAGCACAGCGCACGGTAACTTCGAAGACGTAGGAGCAGAGTCTGGCAACATCGAAGGAGTGGGGGTAGACATCATAGGAGGATCCAAAGGCGTCGTAGTTGCAGAAAGATAGTCCGAACTTTTCGGAGCGTAAGCATAAGCATCCAATGATTTCGGAGGCATAGCAGGAAGGTCGGAAGGTTCCGGAGATGGGAGGGGACAGTTCGACGATTCTAGAAATGGCATAAGAGGCTTCGAAGATTTCGTAGACCTGGGATGGTGGTCTGACAATCTCAGAGATGTAGCTCGAAAGTTCGAAGATTCTTGAGACGTAGGAGCGTGGTGTTGCAATTCTGAAGGGATAGAAGGGGTGTCAAACGTCGTAGGAGTGTTCAAGGATTCCATCAGCGTAGAGAGATTGTTCGAAGACATCTGTTGATAGTCCAAAAATCTCGGAGACATGGCTTGACCGTTCGAAGATTTCGGAGACGTAGGGCATGATCTGGCCATTTCGGAGAGATAGGCGGAGTGTCCAATGTCGTAGGAGCACTCAAAGATTCCGTCGACGTGGGGAGATCACCGTTCAAAGGCTTCAAAGACATAGGTCGATAGTCCGAACATTTCGGAGGTGCAGGTTGGTCATCTGACAATCTCGGAGACGTAGGTCGACTGTCCGAAGATTTCGAAGATGTAGGTCGTATGTCTGAAGACTTCGAAGACGTAGGAGTCTCTTCTAACGTAAGGCTGCCCTCCGGAAGGTCCCCTAACACGGTGACAGCTGGGGAAGTGTCTTCGATCATAAGGCTGTAGTTCGAAAGTGGTTCCATAGCTGCAGTGTTTGTAGACGCCTGGTTCGTCTTGCGCTCCGCCGTCCGAGGCGTCAGTGCTGCCCAGTATCGGTCGCGAAGGTACGAAGGCAATTTTCGAAGCTCCTCAGATGTCAATGGTACACACGGAGTGTTCAATGAGGACTCGACAGCCAGTTCGGCAAGCTGGGGCGGGGGCTGTGCTATAAAGAAGCTGGCTCGGCTCTGTCGCTTCGTGGGAGATGCTTCGAAATTTCGAGGGCTCGCTTCGAACTTCGTAGGGTCGCTTCGAAACGTTGGGTGGGAGGAGGTGCGTAGGTCATGTCTCGAACATTTGCAGATGGGAAAGCGGGACTCTCGGTGTCGATGGTAGGTCGGACGACTGGCGCAGGCGCTAGGGTACTTGGTCTGTCTTCGAACATGACAGGCAGTTTGGGGCTCGCTCCGAAAACTTCGAACACGTCATGGGTAGTAGTGGTTGATCAGCCAGGTGGGTGTTCGAGCGTAGGGGATGCTTCTCGATGACAACTCGGTCGACAACGGTCTGCTTATGCTGTTCCCGAGCATAGATCTCCGTCAACCGTGATAGCTGGGCGTCCATGCAGGCTAGCATCTCTCCAATGTCGAGGGCATGCGTAGGGATAGGCGGACTCTTGACTGCTTCATAGAGCAACTGCATGGCTGTAGCGCCTTGCATAGCACTGCCTGAACCACTCGAAGACGACGAACTGAGTCCTAACTTGCTCGAACGACGTGCATGTTCGTAGATAGCGTCTCGGAGGGTCTCCTGTCTCGGCGACTCATGAAGCGGTTGTCGAACGAGACGATCTTGCCATCGGGGTTCCGTCGACACAGGCCCTTCTTCCTGTCTTCTTCGAACATCTCGCAGTCACCGATCCAACATCCCGAACGTCCGCAATAGAAGCACCGAGGGCTGTCACGACTGTTCGAGAATTCAGCTGACCGGCTGTGAGACTGCTGGGCCTCGAGGGTCTTGATCAGCATCTGTAGCAATGGTAGGAGGTCTTCGAACTTCGTGGTCACAGGTGGGGATGGCAGGATAGACGCAGCGGGTGTGGTGTAGGCATAGGGGGACTAGCTTGCCGAAAGGTCGAAGCTGGTGTAGGACCATCTAACACCCACTGTGCTGACTCGTAGATCTCTGCGAACGTCCAGGGCTTCCTTCGAGAGCGGTCAGGGTTCCGCATGAACAGGCGCTGCTCGATGGGACCCCAGAGCGTATTCGGAAAGCCTTGCTGGAACTTCCGATCTTGTTCGAGTGTCGAAAGCGAACCTCGAGCGATCAGGTACTCCGAAATCATGTAGAAGTCGCGGTAGTAGGCAGCGAGGTGGAGGGCATTGGTCATCCCGAGTTCTATGCGATCATGGACGACTGTGTCGAGATCAGCGAGCGAGTACTTGTGCTCGTCATCAGCTCCAGGATAGAGTGCTCGTAGGGCGGTCACGAACTCCTCGTAGGGCTTCGTAGCATCCTTGAATGTTGGCTGCATCATCCATAGGTCGGAGACGCGGATATGAGGGTAGCGAACTGCCCATGACTTCTTGTCGGAGTCGTCGGTAACTCGGCATCGTGCGAAGTGTGTTTCAAGGTCTTGGAAAAAGCGGTTGAATGAGAAAGGTTCTGACTCGTCAAAGACAGGTGCAGTGGAGTGTCCGCGTGCAGGCATTGAAGCCGCCTTCGAGGCTGGTGCTCCTGCGTCGGTCATATTCGGACTCAGCTTCGAAGTGTTAGAAGGAGTTGGCGAAGCGATAGAAGGGATTGTTGAAATGTTCGAAGGTATTGTCGAAGTGTTCGAAGGGTTAGGGGTGTCGACGGTCGAAGTCCGTCGCGGTGCGGACTGCTCTGGTCCTGGAGGGACTGACGACACTCTACGACTGGTGGGTATGGGTAGACGTGAGGTGGAAGATCCTCTACGCGTGGTGACTGTGGCTGAGGTGGGTTCCTCTCCTTCGAGAGGTGGTGATGGTGTTAGAAGCGGTAGAGGGGATCCGAAGACTAGTGCCTCTAAGTCGTCTGCAAGCAAGAGTCTTCGAGCACGTCTGGAATGGGATGGGGTAGTAGGCACTTGGTCTCGAACGGAGCGTTCCGGATCGTCGTGATCGGGGACAAGCTCGACGTTTTCGGGCGAAGAGGGGATAGTCGAAGGTCCTGGGAGAGGGTTGCTATGCCTGCGAAAGGCGGCGGCTGATCGGGGACCTAGTCTACTGTCGATAGCGAGTGCGAGGAGAGGACTTTCGTAGTCTCGGTAGTCTTCAGGGTTGACTTCGAAGTTCCGACGCGGCGGAATCTTGCTCTATATCCCCCTCGCGGTGGGCTCCAAGATGACGCGACCGAAAAGAACACAAAAGCCACACAAAAACCCAACCGTGAGGTCGAGCAGTGGTATGCGAGGCCTCTGAGTCTATGAGATGTACGGGGGACTGTACAGTGGTCTAGGTAAGAAGGAGGAGGACGGACAAGACTCCGAACGACGTGGGAGAGCTTCGAAGATGTCGAAGACTGTTCGAAGACGAGGGCTAAGCCTCGGAGGTAGGAGGGAGGGTTTCGGCAGACGTGTCGAACGAACGGTGACAAGAGAGGCGAGCGACGGCAGGAGAAGAAGTGTAGAGCCTCTCGGGGCAACTACGAGCTGGCAAACGTACTGGCGAACTGACTGACTGACTTCGAACGTACTGACTGACTGGCGAACTTGCTGACTTTCGAACGTACTGACTGGCTGACGAACCTCGCCGACGCGAGGTGAGATTGAGAGGGTAAGGGGGTCTCTGAGATTCGAAGGGAACCAGTCCCAGAGTATATACAGGGAAACACGGCTATTACCACTACGGAGCTCCGACGGCCCCAAACATCCGGCTATGGCTTCTAACACGTGACAACTGCTCTCGGGCTCGCTAACCAGTGGTCCGAAGGCCGACCGGCTATCACATGACGCCGGAAACCGAGACCACTCGTCGAGGATGTGAGACGACCTGCAAGGACTCACTGGACATCCTGTAGCATCCTATGGTCTCGCAGGAGATCTTCTAACACCGTAGCACGTCTTCTAACATGTTCGAGTGTCTTCTAACACATAGTGTATCTTCGAGTGACCTGCGTGCTCTGGGGTCGTCTAGATAGGTGGGTAGGTGCTCCTATAGCGTCACTGAGGTGCCGGAAGGTCGCGGATAGTCTTCTAAGGTGAGCCAGGGTTGGCTACGAACTTCGAAATCTTCGAACAGTTGTAGTGGATCTTCTAAGAGCTTCGGAGCATCGTAGAGGCCTAGATTGTGTTTTCGGGGCTTAGATAGCCTAGAGGCGTATCAACGGCTTCGACACTGAAGCCTGTGCCGTTCCGGACGCTGGTACAGCGAAGGACGAAGGTTCCGCCTGCGCCTGTCCCTCGGCGTTTTGAGCCTTCTCATTCTCCGAGCCCTCCGGTAGTTGTTCCTATCCAGCTTCACAATGTTCGTCCAAGTGCTGGTGAGTCATTGTCCCAATGTTCTTGATCTTCTGGTGGCCTACAGTCGAACATAGGGCAATCACACACCCCCAGCCAGGCTCGCTCGACTCGGACCGAGGCCTTGCCTCAGGATCAGTACTCAAGCGACGAGGACGAGTTTGTTGACGAAGCTAACAACGTGCAGGAGGCTTTGCTCAATGCCGAACAAGATGCTGGAGATCATGGGTCATCGTCCGACCTCAACGAGGGTGGACAGGTTGGGAACCACTCTGCTGACGAGATCAGTGGAGATGAGGGTCCCGAGGTTGACTCTGCTGATGGTCATGATGACGATGATGGCCCTACCACCGGTGTGTACAATTTAGCCTAAGTTGTCACTGCATGACTCAGTCTGCACTTCGTTTTAGTTGACGTGGATGCTCCACGTGCTCGGCCTGTCAATGCAGGCAACAGTGGTCGCCCTCGTGCACGGGATTACGATGAAGAAGTCCAGGAGATTCTGGGACTCGCAACGAAGATCTACAGGTGCCAGATCTCGGCTGTCAACCCGTACCCGGACCATGCATTGGAAGTACAGTGGGCGCAGTTTGCGTGGGGTGAAGCTTGCAAGCAACTCGACGTCAATGTAGCTGCGACTCCGGTTATCGTCAAGATTGTTTGTCTTTCTCCTAGTATCATGTGATTGACCTACTAACATTCTCAACAGATCACAAAGCGTACATCGCAAGTCCGCGGTGAGCTCAAAGGGAAGATCAAACCTCTTGTCGAGAGTTTGTATGGTTTCGAGGGTGGGTCTGCTAGGACGACCATCATCCAGAATCGCGAGCGCGCCGAGAACCTGAAGGACGACTACGCCTTTGTTTACAAGGTATTTCATTCACTCCTTGACTTGATTCTCCGGGACGTGACTCATCTCACTTCCTGCTGAAGGAACCGGCACTGGGCGAGCTATCCCGCACGCTGCGCAAGGGCATGTATGAGCACCCCATCATCCAGAAGGCCATCAATGCAATGTGGTTCGTCAACAAGCATGATGAAGGCGTACGACTCTACCCATACTTCAACCCCATCTCTATCGAGACGTTTGCCTTCGTACTCGCTGCGGTGCGTGTTGCTAGGCAATGGCATTGTAGCTTGTTACTGATACTAAACCCAGATCGAATGTGGCATCGACGAATGGGGAACAGGCACTCGTACTGAGGTCCACTTCACGGCTGACGATTACAGACCTGTGTACGAAACACACAAGGCCAGTTTAGAGGCTTTTGATACCTTCAGTGACGACGCACATCGTGTGTTACTCAAGATTCGTACGAAACTTCATAACGAAGCACGGTATAGTATCTTTTACCATCATTAACGCAATCAGAACTGATCTGTGATGTTACAGCTTCCATTCCGGGGCCGAGAGTCTCGAAACGGGCGAACCGAAGGTTCTGACTCGCAGCGCCATACATCGCGCGATTCAGTTGGCCTTGGAGGCTACTGTCGATGAAGCCGAATCGGGAGCCACTGCAGGACCATCGCATTAGGTCTACTGGCGAACTCCACGGTCCCGCAGGCAGTGTCGTTTGCAGACCAGCATACCCTTGTTCAGGTTATTGCTCTTCTAGTGTATATGCATCTTAGTACTCGCTCCCGAACTCTGCGTTCGCACGATACCCAATGTGCTTGTCATCGCCTCAATTCGTATGCTACGACTCACTGTCTAATACTGTCGCTCATTACCAATACATTTTTTTCTAATGTCTGACAAGGAGCAACAAAATATGCATCAGTGAATTGCGTGTACCAGCGACGAGCAATACATAATTGCTTTCAATCTATAGCACTACAGTCTGATATAAGGGTTACGTAGATGACTGTGTCGTGAAGCTACAGCTTGCTATACAGTATTATATCTGTAGTCCTACAGATATATTGTACTATAGTACTCGCTGACAAGCTACAGTCAGCTCTGTATAGGGGGGTGTGTAAATGAGATATGGCGGCTATCCATGCTCCCTAGGGCTACATCGCATATGTCTTTTTTCCTGATGTCATGATGTCCATTTCGGTCTAACCATCGCCCATAACCACGTTGCCTGTTATCATCATTGTCCAGCGGCACGCGTAGTCACGGACATGTCACGCCGCAGGCCCGAGCCATCACTTACCGGAAAAGGCAACTGTGGCTCCCTGCTGCCGCCGGGGCGAGTTTCGGTACGGCGTCGTGTCGCGGTATGGTGCGTCGCGCGTCGCGGTTTGGTGTGTCGCGGCGCGTCGCGTCGTGTCATGGCATGGCGTGGCGCGTCATGTCACGGTACGGCGCGTCACGTCATGTCATGGCACGGTACGGTGTGGCGTGGCGTGTCACGGTACGGCATGTCATGGCACGGCATGGCACGGCGCGGCGTGTCATGGCATGGTACGGTACGGTATGGTACGGTACGGCGTGTCATGGCACGGTACGGTACGGTATGGCACGGTACGGCGTGTCATGGCACGGTACGGCGCGTCGTGTCATGGCACGGTACGGCGCGTCGTGTCATGGCACGGTACGGCGCGTCGTGTCATGGCACGGTACGGTGCGTCATGGCATGGCACGGCGCATCGTGTCACGGTATGGCACGGCACGGCGCGTCGTGTCACGGTATGGCATGGCATGGCACGGCGCGGTATGGTACGGCGTGCCGTCACTGCCGTGTCATGGCACAGTGCGAGCATGGTGCTTATGTCATGCCACTGAAGTAAATTGTACCCTACATACATTATTGAGGCTCAGGCTGTACCTAACACCAATACAATACCTGTTCAACTCAAGCTGTCGCAGTACAATGCAAGAATAATTTGATTGTAAAAAAACGACATGAGCGAACTATAAGTATGTACCATTATCCATACCATCATGCCATGACACGGCACGCTGTACCGTACCGCGCTGTGCCATGCCATGCCATACCGTGACACAACGCGCCGTGCCGTGCCATACCGTGACATGACGCGCCATGCCATGCCGTCCCACGCCATGCTGTGCCATGCCATGACACGCCGTACCGTGCCATACCGTATCGTAGCGGCGCAAGCGCCGATCCCCGACTCCTGCATGGCACACAGCTACTCAGCCTGCCACAGCGGCACCATAGTATATAATGTATGTATTGTAATATTGTATCATCGGAGACTCAATTGGAAGCCCTCAGGCCTCAGGCCCGCGGCGGCTTCGCCGCCCGGGCGTCTCGGGCTTCCACGACTCAGTATGTATCACAGTACATAAGTATGTGGGTGCAGGCTATCAAAAATGAGAGAAACTTTCCTGAATTTGGGAGGAGTCATTTGATGGTCAGAGATCCAGGCGTCCAGACACAGCCAGATGCACGGAAGGATCCAACTGCCTCGAGCTGCCTCGTAGGACACTCGAGCATTGCTGCGATACCGTTCATGGGAATTGTAAGTCACGTGTTTCCCACGGAGGGAGCGGCATCGCCGGCTGCGAACGACTTATGGTGGACAAAGCCCTCCTCTCTCCCTCCGGTCGGAGTCGGGGACCGTACCGTGCCATGACACGCCACGCCACGCCGTGCCGTGCCATGACACACCGTACCGTGACATGCCACACCACACCGTACCGTGACATGACGCGCCGTGCCATGCCATGACACGACGCGATGTGCCGCGACACACTGTACCGCGACGCGACGCTACACACCGTACCGCGACGCGACGCGATGCACCATACCGCGACGCACACCGTACCGCGACTCGCCGCGGCGGCAGGGAGCCAAAGTTACCTTTTACGGTAAGTAGCAGCTCGGGCCTGCGGCGTGACATGTCCGTGACCGCGCATGACACTGGACAATGGAAAACAAGCAACGTGGTTAGGATGATGGGTAGACGGAAATGGAAATCATTGTCACAGTGGCCAGAGATATTCTAAACATCCCTCACCATATCCCGGCCTGCGATACTATGTGGGGGAAATTCAAAGTATTCCATCTCGGGATACTTTGAGCATCCAGACTTTCCATATCTCCGATCACAATATCCCCGAACGGAATATTCAAAATATTTAATTGGATATCCCGTACCATATCCCGTGTTCAGATACCATGTCAGGTTTGTTGTGTCTACAGACTCCTTCCTCAGCCTCACCACACGTGCACCGCTCGGCCCGGGACTTCCGAACAAGGGCTCACGACTCTCACCACAAGTCGTGAGCCCTTGTTCGGAAGTCCCGGGCCGAGCGGTGCACGTGTGGTGAGGCTGAGGAAGGAGTCTGCTTGCTCTAGCGAGCAAGGGACTTCGATGGGAAGACGTAGCCTATGCCGTTGTAGGAGCGCAAGGCGGCGTACGCGTATATCCTGGCCATGATGATCAAAGTTCATCGAACTATGTACGGTCCAAGTCCGACGCCTTCAAGTTGCCTTCAAGTTGAGAGCACGGCCGTGCACCCTCTGTTCAGCTCTTGAGTCTTTAGCGACGTGAAACTAGGTCGTTGAGAAATGACGGCCTCCGCGGGAAACCTGACTGACAGGCTAGCTACTGTCGATACTCGAGACGGATGCGTTGAGTCACCATTTACATTACAAGCATGCGTGTGTACTGACTATCGTTGATTAATGGAGGTTGACGCACACTTCATACGTTGCATACCTCCAGCGACACGCTGTCATTTCGTGTAGCTGAAGCTCTTCGAGCCAGCAAAATTAACTTTGGAACCGAGCCCTGTCAGTACTCAACAAATCTCAAGGGCCGCTTACCGTTGGTGTCCTTGCCTCCGAACTGGCGGAATAGGTCCCACCATACGTCTCAAGGGGACAGGGACAGCGAAGCCGCGTCATGACGTGAGTCACCCACCGATACCCCGAGGCAGGTCGAAATGGCGCCCATACCTGATAGTTTCGCGTTCAAGGTCAAGGGTGTATCTGTCCAACGAAAAAATCTGACGAGATTTCAGGGACGAGAGTTTGAGAAAATATAATTGTCCCTTCACTAAGCCCAACAGTGGAAGACACTGTCACGGCGCCGACACGGTTGCTGGCTCGGACTAGCCGTTCTACTGACTTGCAATAATATCCGACGATCAGAGAACATCGGGCCTTACAACGCACTCTGTAAGACAACTCACCAATTCATCTGAATCGTCACCCCGAGTTGACAAGAACCATTATCCGACTGGCAGAACCCTGTCTTGCCATTCCCAAGCGACTCCTGTCGGCGTGGCACTGCCTGCTTCAAGTATCCGAATCCTCAGACCTGTGGGACTAGGCTGGGAACCGTTGTATATGATATCCAGAGCCAGCTCTCATAGCGCGGAATCGGTGAATTCTGTGGCCCAGGCGACCTACAGCTTCTCCTGCGGACTGACGCTGTGGTGCTGCGAGCTCCCAGGCCATGCCAAAATTGAAGTCGCATCAACGGGCTGGTAGGGCGTCGCCGTTGATTCAGCTTCTTCGCGGACATAATCCCGGGTTGCAGATCACGTTCTCCAGGGGGTCGGGAAACCTATCCGAACGTGAGCCACACATCACGGAGACTCGCCTGCATGGAGAAGGCGGCGAGCTAGCGCGAGTAGATTCTCGTATTTCGCCGAAACTGCTCCGACACTGGGCATTGCGTGGATGACACCACGAGCATCCATCGCATCCTCTCGTCAAAGGGCACCACACTCCTTTCTAGCGGCATGGCCTTAGACACCACTGCCTTGCATACAAAAGCGACGTCCTTACATCAAATTTGCGATGGGATGTGCCGTGCTATCCTCTTGGACAAGCCCTAGTGTTGAGATGGAGGCGCTTGAAGTGTACACGGAAACATTTAATCATACCGTCAGGGCCATCCGTAAACTCACTGATTGGCAGGTCTGGATGCTTACCAGATATCATTCGCTTACGACCAGCTGACGAATTCCTGACCGAGGACGCGGAGACCCTTTTAATCTTGGTGAGCGCGTCAGAGCAGCACTGGGCGATTTTCGATGTGGCATCTCACTAAAAACAGACACTGAAGAGGCTCACCCATTAGCTCACTATGTAGGCCGCCGGAGAGGTCGACGCGAACCTTGTTCAGGGAACGCGCCCAAACTCAATGCACTGGCGGACAAAATTCGCGTCAGCGACGTTGACGAGGCCGCCTTGCGATCCCCATAGGACCTTGGGGCACAGATACGCGGATAGCCTCTATTTGAGTTATTGGCAGTAACGATGACATTTCTGTGAAAGAAGAATCGCATCATCTCCATCATGTCGAACACGTATCCCACACCCCGTACCCAGGTGCGCTCCTTTCTCTAGTACGCGCTCTGCAAATACGTTGAAAAACCCACCCATACCCCAGTATGCGGCGATTAAGTGGAAAAGAAACACCCTAGGGCAACCTCATCTCCGTGATGGATAGGATGCTACGACATTCCCAGATCTTCACTACCCTGAGACCGGCTCGCGCAGCAAGCGCGCTGAGCTGCTCGGGGGTACGTTCGGTGCCATTGAATAAGGCGAGCATAGCTAAATCTTGCATGTTCTTGAAGACGCTAGCACAGCCGTAATTCGCAGGGAGAGGGGTAGGAGCACTCTTCAGAAGGGGGGACCCCACCGTCGTGTGCATGACCATGTCAGCGACCAGGATGCGGGAATTTGCGCTCATAGCATCGCGCAACCGCTTGAGGATAGTGACGCAGACGTCGTCTGGCCAGTCGTGTCTACGAGGTTTGGTGAGTGACCCGTCTATTTGAATTTGTACCGGCCGCTTACAAGATGTAGCGGAGAAAATAGACTTCGGCGCCTTTGATAGGCTGCTCTTGGAAGAAATCTTGAGCTTGCAGGCTAACACGCCCGTCTTGAATTGCGCTAGGCATCTTGGACATCCATAGCGCTTGCCCCTGCTCGATTACCGGCCCCCTGTCTTCCACGACGAACCGCAACTGCGGGAACTGCGCCGCTAGCTCCATAGCCATGCTACCTAAATTGCCGACTAAGTCGGTGTGCAATCAGAGCATCATTCGCCAGACCTACCCACACCTCCACCCACGTCCACCACTGTCGCCGAACCCAGAGCGGCCCAAGGATAGTCTGTAGCAATGGGCTTTGTGAGCGACTCAGGTTGATCGCAATGAACGCAAACAACGAACCAGAACTGATGGAAGAAGAGACAATTTGTCCAGTAGCCATCATAGCCATGGAAAATGTCTTGTGAAGAGGGCGCGGCTGTACAGTCCCATCTGGCTGTTCAACGCCTTGTTCACACCACTCCCAGAAAGTCAAATCTGTGCCCACGGCTTCTTGGAAAGCAGACTGATTGGGCGCTGTCGCTCGAGACTTCACGGGATCCATTAGCACGGAGGGAAGCTTGTCCATTGATTTCATGTATACGCCGAAGCCGCTATGTCATGCCTTCAGATAAGCCATGTTACCAATGAGCATGGCGACTTACTTCATCAATAGTAAAGACTGCGCTGGCTCATTCCGCACCAGTACGAGGCTTGTGCGAGTGTTCGCGAAGTGATCACTCTTGACTTCCGAAAGTACGTGGCTAGTGCATAGCAAACGGAGAACGCGTGCTAATGCAACAAATCATAGTGAGCAGTGCGCGACGAGTCCAAGGACATGACTCACCTAGCTTCATGTCATCGATCTCTGTCCGTCGACTGAGTTCGTATATCAGCATCCCTTCGCCAGGCGCCATTTCAGCAAGGATGTCCGGAATTCGTGCGGCGACCAGTATGTAAAGGGCCTCCATGAGAGACAATGCCCCATGCGACAGCTCTTCTAGTCGATTGAGGGGATCCCCCACCATGTCGGCACACATACCACAAGCACCACGTATGACGCGACGAGCATCATACAGCTCTTGCGACGGGAGTGCATTCCCCCCTGTATTGCCATCTCTCTGTTCTTCGGCTTCCCACTCTTTGATGACTATCTCTGAAGCATCAGTGAGTAGGCCAATAAGGGAACGCAACTGCTGCGCCTTCTCCGAGGCAGACATGGTAACCGGGGCGAAGTTGAGGCAATGACCCAACTGCTCTTTCATATCTACGCAGGGTATAAGGTTCGCCCGTACATGATGAAGGATCTCGGATGCAAAGCAGTAATGGCTCGTGGACCCCCGGGGATCGGACCCATCTCGACTAATCGTCGCCATGTTTGTAACAGCGACCATCGGACAGTGGCGTTGGAATGACGGACGCCGTGAGTATCTCTTTTTGGTCAGCAACGGAGACGCGGATGCCGTTAGACATTAGGTGCTGATAGAACATCCATTAGAGCATGGGAGAACAGAAGACGAATGGGCAGAACTCACTCACTACAGCACTTGTCATAGCACCGTTCGATAGACGACAAGCCGAAGGGACTCTGGAAGTGTGGAGCTACCGACAAGTGTATGTATTAGTTCCCGATGCTCTGATGACCGGATTCCAGCATCTCTGGCGTCCGGCATGGTTAACGGCAGATTTGGTATGGGCCGTGCGATAACAGAGCGACACTCGGGACGAAGTCCGTTCAACGGACTACAATTCACTGTGGTGAGTTCTTCGTGCGACTTGGCTGTGTCCTCGAGCCTCACTCACAGCCGAGTTGGAGCGGTATGGCTGAAACACCTAACGATTAATTGCAAATAGACATATCTGATGCCCCCTCTCACCAGAAGGCAAGAGTTGC